GAAGGGAATAATATTATGCAGTACAGTTACCGTATTATCGATGGTCAAAAGTACTCCCAATATCAGAAAATGCCAATTTTGAGCACAAATATTTTAAATATTCAGGTTCACGCGCCTAGTCGATTGCACCCTATGAAAACAACGAACTATACTTCAATCAAAAACCAAAATATTTTTGGGTCAATGGGTAGTGGAAGACCTGCGTCAGGCATTCCTGGATGGAAAAAACTGCCACCCTTGTACCAGTGGCGTTATTACTGATTTTATCAATGGTCGGTCTTTTAGACCGACACGCGTGTACTCCTGGGTTAAAACAAAACCCAGATTTGCAGGCTTTTCGCCACAGCTTCGTTCTGTACCATGATACGAACACTTCCCAAGTCAGTCAATCTTCAAGTTTTAATTTTTGAAAACAAAACTGTCATAGAATCGAATTAGAAAATCTCAGTTGCAAATATCGCGGAGCACTAGGAGGGCTCCAAATATGAACTCAAGCCCGGTTGACACGATCCAAGTACTTGGTACAAGTGCAACTTGGACAAAGTAACTTGGCAGCCAGCCTACTTACTTGGACGTTAGGACTCATCCAACTACTGGACTTGGATAAACAGTGGATACGATCCACATATCGTCCAAGCAAGGCGCGTGCAGCGTACAAGGTTATTTGATCCAAGTACACTTCGACCGTGTCAACCTGGGCTTTACTTGAAAATGTATAACTTTCTTGGCAAAAACAAGGCTTATATTTGATAAGAGAATGCATATTATTCAAATACCAAAAAAGAAGTTTGGATAAATTTGTATACATACGATTATTATTATCGACGAAGAGATAATGTGTTAACCCGAATCAGCTGGAACGCAAATTATGACGAAATCGATTCTCGATTGTCTCACGGAGGCGCGATCGACATAAAGTCGATTTTGATTGACCTAAATGGTGATCGATAATTCGAAACAATGATACCATTACCGTAAATAGACAATTGTAGTTTTGACATCATGAAAGGTAAATTACATGGTCAACGAGGATCACGAGATATAATTTGAAATGATGATTGGCCGAAAAGAAAACGCGGATAAAATTTTAACAATCCACCCACCGGGGTCGTTTAAAAATTCAGGTGAGGAAATCGATTTTTTTTAAGGAGATAATACCCGAAATTACGACACGTCGCGTTTGGCGTATAATGGACGTAACGGACACCATACACCGACAGATGTTTATCATAATTCGGCACACTTAATGAGCGACCGCGACTTAAGTAAGCCTTGCATAAAATCGCGAAATGGGTTACGTGGGTAGCGTACAACTAAAACAGATGCCGGTAGATCACAAACGCACACACTGCCCAATCGCGTCGCATCCCATATGAAACAGTTGCCGGTTGATGACCCCACTGACCTCTACCTTTACGCCCCCATCCACACCTAACTTCATTTGGTTTGACCTTTTCGCCCACGCGTGGACATCTGGACTTGGGCTACGCGAAAGTGGAGCAACGGCTGAACGATGATGGTCAGTAGGCTAATCAGTTTATCATCATTATGCTTCGCAACCGATTGGGAGTAGTTAAAATCTCAGTAAATTTGTCCATAAGGGGAAAAAGTTTACAAAGAGAGGTGCTAGCCAGTTGGATTTCACTGATACATTCATATATATACACACACATTACAGGCCATTTATTAATCATTATACAGACACGAGTACAGACATGTTGAAAATGTAATATCTAATGTTTCCTGTATTATATCATGTATCTATAATCATCGAATAATATATAAGGGAATCAATCAATCAAGTTTTGATTTTAGTCACGTCGGAGAAACAATAATTGGAAAACAATTACGCCAACATTACTCTTGCTTAATTCCGATTCAAACCTTTCTTTTGTTGATTCTCAGAATTTTAAATTAAATCTCCCCTGACACTGGTGACATGAGGAAAACTATTTTTTAGTCTTTAAAATCGAGAAATACGTGAAGTAAGGCATCTTTTAAGAGTAGAACAGTTGTTCCAAGGACTAATTTTCGAATGAAAAATTCTCTGCCATTCTTCGTATCTTGTTCCAACCTATCTCTTAGCTTTTCGTCTATGTCACTTTGTCAGCTCCTTCTTGGCCTTTCGCATTTCTACTGTTGCATATCTCGCACTCATTGTTTGCCTTAATTCTGTAATTTGTTACTTATCCATTCTTTCGCGTGCCAGCGGTACTTCTCCAAAAATCAATTTCCGTTGCAGCATTTTCGCAGTTTTTTTTTTCATTGGCCATACTAAACTAAATACAATTTTAATTACAATTTTCAGGTTTGCTTGTGTAATTTTTTATTGAATTTGGTTGAGGTTTTGCTGATCATATGTTTATTCTCATTTGGCAGAGTACCAGCATATGATAACTGATGCCGACATTGGCTGTTTCAAGTGATCTCACATCCAGTATCATCTATGGAGTAACTATTCTGATGATATAATCTATCACAGATTGCTACCCTATTGTGTTTTGCCATGTATACAGTGTGTCCCGCTTAAGGACTCACCACCCTTCTAAAATTTTCATTTTTTAACTGATTCAATTTCTTTTTCTTTTTCCTATATCTACTCGAATTTGGCACTTATTAGGCTCATAATTTTATTTCTGCGGCTGAACTGGTGTACAGGTTGTCCACATTTATAGGCTCAAACTTCAATAAGTACCATTAGGGATTTTTCTAGAAAAAATCTGATAGCAAATTCTTGTTCAGAATGGTCTAAAACCCAAATGTACAAATTTTTGTTTCAATACGATACAGGGTGTTCACAACAAATTTTCAAAATTTATTGAATCAAACCACAAAGAGGTCATATTTTGAGGCCTTGAGAACAACAAAACTTGATACAAAATAGTTTTAGAACATCCTTAACCAAAACTTGTAGTAAGCTTGTCTCAAAATACGACGTTTTTGCGGTTTGATTCATTAAATTTTGAAAATTTGTTGTGATCACCCTGTATCGTATTGGAATAAAAATTAATACATTTGGGTTTTAGACCATTCTAAACAAGAATTTGCTATCAGATTTTTTCTAAAAAAATCCCGAATGGGGCTTATTGAAACTTGAGCCTATAAATGTGGACACCCTGTACACCAGTACAGCCGCAGAAATAAAATTTTGAGGCTAATAAGTGCCAAATTCGAGTAGATGCAAGACAAAAAAAAAAAAAAATTGAATCGGTCAAAAAATAAAAGTTTTAGAAGGGTGGTCAGTCTTTAAGCGGGACACACTATATATAAAATTTATATTGTGGTCGAAAACGGTGTTGTTGATTTTCGTTGCGTATGATCCCCAGAACATTGAGCAAATCTCCGTTGTCATTAATATAACAGCTTATTAGTTAAATCTTGCCAATGCTTTCCAACGTTTTAATTGCAATATTTATGGTATTTAATTCTTCCATACCTAATCACGTTTTTATCCAGTGTTCCACTTTGTTTTCTTAATATAATTTTTTTCTAACCCCTCGTTCATATACGATAGACATTTATGAAGTAGGTACTTTCCCTAAAAGTTTTTATTATGACTTGCAATATTCTGTCACTGTTAAATAAATAGGCCCACTCCAGAACGTCCTATTTCTATCTCGTGAAACTCCGCTTAGTTATCTAAAGATGTATTCGTTAATTTCGCACGCCCTATTGCCTTTTTTGGCTTTCGCCTGTCGGAGCATATATCGATGTTGTTGTATGTTGATTCATTGATTATTTCTTGATTCGTTGTTGTCCAGGACATGGAATTCCGAGTTATTCTAAGGTTGTTTTTTTTTTTTTCTTCTTTTTATCAATCATTTTCTCGCAGGGGTTGGTCAGCCTTGAGTCATCTCAGTTCGGAGCTTACTTTTCTAACCTATTTAGAGAGTGGCTTAGTCGAGGAGCTCTCCGCCTTTAACCGAAATTGGGACCGGCAACGGTGCTGCTGAACTACTGAATTCGCCCACCAATCATGTCTTCAGACGGGTTTATTTCAACTCATTTTACTACCTATAAAAAAAAATACTTCAGTTTAAGACATGGAATCAACAAAAATCGGTCCTGGTACTCGCAGACTTGCGTACTTTTGTTGTAAAGATAGATGTTCACCTCCAATCACGTCTTCAGATTTAACGAAACTTCGGCTACATGTGGGATTTTCATAATGAGCAAAAACCCTCAGTGTTTGATGCTGCACCTTCATCATCAGGTAAATTACATCCTCTCCATCGTGAAAAAATCTTGATCTGAATATTTTGCATTTCTTCTCAGTTGAATAATTATTTTATATTTACTTCTATCCGACAGGTGTTTTCAGAATTTATTACTAACTCATATTGTATTCGGCTTGTTATTCATATCATTACCTATTCGTTAACTTCGCAGCATCCACCAATGCTTCAGGTAGTTTTCCATTGGAACTGATGGACATTTTTCTTGTATTCTGGCGATTTTTTCACAAAAATTTGAAAAATCTCAGTTATTTTCTAAACGCTCATAGGAAAACATCTGTTACCTTGGTGCTATAATTTCTTTAGTTTTGCATAATGAGTTTGAGAAAAAATTATGAATGATTAACCTGGATGCTGTTTATTGCCAATAAGCAAATACTTCTTGCGAGGCACATAATTCAACAATTATCATTAGCCTTAATTGAATCCAGAAGGTAAGTTAGCTTCTATGGAGACTAGAAAAAGCTTTATAAATGAATATTCTCTCCAGTGAGTGCGATTATGTTAGTAGTTCACTTCACAGGGACAGTAAAATTACATTTATCCAGAGGTAGAAAATAATCATAAAGTAAAGTTCCAAAAAGGGAAATTACACATGCTTCAGTTGTCACAAAAGATGTATGTACCGTTCGTGAGTTAAAAATTTAATGAGCCCCGAGGGCCAGTCAAAAATTATTATTAAAACTGGCAACTACATGAAAAAAAGTACGCGTATGTCAAGTTAGGCTAAATAAGAAATTGAACTCTTGAGTAGGTAGTACTTACCGGCACGCATTTGCATCTCATGCAGTGAAGTACCCCTATTGGCGGTCCCAAATCCGGTGTCCAAATAGATCCTAATTCTCGTATTTGCTTGTCGAACACGCATTCTGAAACAAAAAACAAACAGCTCAGTTATTTAGTCCTGAAAGATCCCCAGATTTAATCCTAGTGATTAATTCGAAGTCATTCAGCTTGACGCATCATCTCGGACTCAATTTCAATTTTGCAACGTCCAATGCACTAGTTTTAGTTACTTACATTCAGCGGCGGCGTTCTGGTGAAAAAAATGAACAGAACCAGTTTATACGCCAGAGAATGGTCCGTGTGAGTTGTTTCTTTGACCACCGTGAAGTTGAAAAATCCAAGGATGCATGTGAGACAAGAAAATTATTATTTCGCCCAAGATGGAGATATTTTAAGCGTCCGTTTAAGGAGAAATACCCACTCCGCATTTGTATAAGTAATTAGGCTTGTGTTCGACGTATTGGTATTTATGGGACTATGTGAAGGAGAGTGGAGAATTGAAAGTATTTAGATTGTCATTGATGCTTTAATTAAGAAACTAATGTCTTTTTTAACGATCTTATCAAAACCTAGGACATCTGAAAACTTGAATGGTGAAGTTGTGGGACTTGAAGCACATTAATATGCCTGTGTGTGAATGTAAAAATTAAATTCTCCAAACTTACGTCTTTAAAGCCCATTTAATCAATTAGTTTTGAAGTGCCCCATATGCACGCAAAGCCTTTTACAATTATTTAAAATGTTAGTATGCAGTTCCTTAAAAAGTGTTTGAAGTACGTACAGCTTCTTGGAAAAATTGACAGTGCATATACCTAACCATTTGAGGGTGGAAATTGCATTTTTTTTTCTCGGGAAAATCAACGTAAGGATCGACTTGTCACACGTCAGAGCAGTTGAGCATAATGAACTTATATTAATACTTGAACATGTACCTAATATAAACCATGATCTAATGTCAACTATGCGCTTAGCTATAAATTGTTTTTGCCGATTATATGGAGTGGAAAATGAGTTATTATTGCCCAACCCAACTGGGGTGCAGCTGTATCGGCCAAAAATAGGAACATTTTAGTAATATTTATAACAATAGCGTAATAACTAGGGCAGTTAATGACTTAGTGAATACATTATATTATTCATTAACTTCTGATTTGGATTAAAAAGGTTTTGTGAAATTTATTTTTTCACAAAAAGGCGTGCGTGAAACAAAGATGAAAGCAATTTTTCTGATATTTATGAACATTATTAGTCAATGATGGTAAGGAGGTCTTAGAGTGTCTCCAGTTTTTATGAATATTCTCCCAGGTCTAGTATTTTCTAATTAGTTTTGCCAATCTCCAATGTCATATCCATGAATTCTTTAGACCTTGAGACGGATAGATTGTGCAATATTTCACCTTCCATAGATGGAGAGGGAAAAGTCATACTTTTAGAAGATTTTTTTTTTTTTTTAATTTCGTAAGAAATACCTACAATTTATGATCGTCATCAAAAGCGTGAAAATCAGTTTTTTTTATATCTGTAACAGGTGCGTTAAGAAAATTAACACTACAAGAACATGACGGTCACATCCTAGCAGGCGACATCAATGCACACAATGAAGCATGGGGAGGACATGTTACGGATACACGAGGGGCGCATCTCCGGGACTGAGCAAACACTAACGGCTATGACATAGCGAGCATAGGAGATCAGGGCCCAACTTTTGAGACTAGTAGGGGCACAAGCAACATAGATATGACAATGGTTAAAAGGGCCGACATATTGAATTGGTGCGTTGTCCAGGATGAGGAGTGTTGGAAATGAAAGTAAGAAAATTAACGAAATGGCAAACTCTTGTCCGTAAATATTCCCAAATATAACTAGTGTTTATATTCTCGCTCTCCCAGACGTTCGGGTGGTGTCAAGGGGTGTCAAAAGAGACTATCCTATCAAGAGACTTTTACAACCTAAATTCGCTTCCAGTGAAATATGGAAGAAAAATATATCAAACTTTGCTGTTTAAATTCTCTAGGTGCCCAGTCAAAACACTTGTAAAATCCTGGTTTGAATAGACTCAATCATACTAGATTTTCTAGTCGCGCTTGCTCTTCTTTTGCTTCGTATTTATTGTTAAAATATTTGAAAAAAAAACATGCACTGACTGAACGAACCTCAATGAAATGATGTGAGCCGGCATTCCACGACGCGTGGCTTGGCGAGTCTAGCTCGTGACTTGCCGAGCCACGCGCCGTATGAGATTGGGCATGCTTACCATTTTTTGCGCGGCTTGGACTTTTCCAGTTCTTATCGGTAAAGTTAGCTGGCATCCCACGACATGTGGCTTGGCGAGCCTGACTTGTGGCTTGGGCTTGTTTTGGCGCGTCCAGAATCGGCTTGTTGATCGAGGCAAGGCAAGGAAAGTGGATGCGATTATACGATCTGTGAATCGTTGCAATCGTCGTTGAAAGTATACGAGCCAACCTAAACAGGCTCGCGTTCCTTTGTCTTGTGTCAAATTTATCAACTAGAAGCGGGACAGTCCAAGACGCGTAGAATATGGCGAGCATGCCTACTCCCACGACGCGTGGCTCACCAAGCTATGCGTCGTGGGATGTCGGCTGACACTGACACAAGTCAAAGAAACGCGAGGAGATCCCAACGCGAGCCTGTTCGGGCTTGGCTCGTATACTTTCAACGACGATTGCAATGATACACAGGTCGTGGGATGCCGGATAAGTAGCGGAAACGCTGCAAGGAACACCAGGAAAATGACGAAGAGCAATAAACTAATGAAACAAATAAAAAAAAAACGACGTGTTCCAGAGATTTACAACGTTTTAGCAAAAAGAGGATAGCACTTGTTTCTAGATTTCATATTTATTTAGATGTTATATTTTTTTGATTAATATAAATTCGACTGCGTTCATTCCAGATATTGTTGTTTTTAGGATACCGAACACAGAATATAATCAAAATACATTCATTATCAATCAATAACTATAAGTAGAGAAACTTTAATTCGGGTGCACCGCACTCTTTCCAAAAGACGTGGGTGTTATGAATGGTGCTTCTCGCCGCTTAAGCAAGCGCAAACAGCCAGCTACAAAGTAAACAGCAATAATGAATGTAAAAAAGGGGTCTCATCGCATGGGAAAGTGGTAGCTGGCCGACTGGAAGCGAACTGGTCATAAATAACGCTATTATCATACTATTAACTCCATAATTAAGCCTGTGGTCGATCTTAATTTAATTCGGATGCTCATCGCGGGCGCCAGTTATAAAAATGCCGTACAAGTACTGCCAAGGACACATCCAAACTTGTCCGAGTACTGATTCTGATGAAACTATTATGTCAGTTATTATTTATGTATTGAGGCTACATTTATCAGGTTATTATTTGATGTATGAAAACTACCTTTTTAGACAAATTCTTGATTTTCTTTTTGTGGCATCGACTCCGTAATTTTTCGAAGGCGAAGTTTCTTCTTGTCCCCGTTGGCAAAAAAGTTTTCCACAAATTACATATTTTCTGGACGGCCGTAAAGACAATCTTTTACGGTTGATTCTTTAAACAAGAACGAATTCGTTTTTCCTTTCCTCATTCTAGATTTCTTTCACAGCAAATTTGATTCATTAGCACTGTTTTTATATTATCTTCAAACAAATTTCGGAAAAATCGTTCACTAAAATTATGGTTGTCAGTATTACAGATTTAGAAGAGTCAACGCGGGGTGTACAATATTATCAATTAGGTAATATTTGATCGAAATGTATTTTTACAGCTTCTTGTCGAAAAATAGATAGTAATTTTTGGTGCTTCCCTTATCTCAGTAATTACATAATAATAACGATATGGGAAAACAAATTTATGTGTTACCTTTAAACGACCTCTTTATCATGGCTCAAATGTGTAAAAAGATTTAAGTGTCATTAGCTGAAACGCCATTTAAGATAACAACCAATAATAATTTATCTTAATTAACGTTATCTAATACTAGGTAAGTAGGAGGACCAATATCAAAATTAGAACAAATTATGTCTGTCATACATCATTTTTGTTATTATTTTTGTAGTAGGTGCTCCATCGGGAAATGATTTATTCGACTTCACTTTATTTCGAAACTTTTCAAGTAGAATACAAAATTAGATAAATTAGCTGATTCGTAGTATAAATTTTCGCCCACTAAAAGGCTTCCCAAGCAATAATTTAATGACTAAAGACGACAGTTTACACCATGCTTGACGCCGTACTAGGTGCAGACATTGCATCTTAGCTTTCTTTAGAAGTCGACTAGAAAACGTTCAATGCTAAACTAAAAATGAACTTTCCGAAACCGTCACTGTGCATGACCAACTAAAATACGGGTAAATATATCGCTGCCAACGATTACGATTTGACAACATTCATGAGAGTTCGTAAAATTTTTGCTTGAGTCTACATATCTTAGTATACAGAAATTGATTTCAATAAAATTGATAAGTCTATTTTTTTACCGAATCGGGTATACTATCTTGGACTAGTAAGTACATAAAACACATACCTATGCGAGTTGTACTCGCACTTAACTACATATTATTTTAAACACAATTTCAATTCACATTATGTCAAAACAAGGACACAGAAAATTTAAGAAAATGCCTGGCTTTGATTTTAACTGAAAAAAGCACGATTGCAATGAACAGAATTGTTGAAATCGCATCGCCACTTTTAGTAGGCAAACAACTTCTGTATTTGGTTGGTTAACAAGTTAACAATAAAACACAGTCAATACGATTTCTATATACGATTCGTCAAGGGATTCTTGCCTGGTTTTCATTTTAAATGGTGTGTAGTTATAAATAAATTTAAAAATATCATGGCAAGTAGTAACCAGAATATACCAATCTGGCTAACACAAGCTTACTTTTAAACATTTAGGAAACGTTTGGTTAGGTAGGTATATAGTAACACCAAAAATTTATTTCAAAGACAACTACAAAAATAATGATGCAATGGGGTAGGAAACTTCCAATTTTTAAGCTCTCATGTAAGAGGGTGAAAATATATCAACTACTGAGTCACGAATCAGCCCGCCAGATCAACATTTTTGAGCCTTGATTT